CCCAGATAAATCTTGATAATGATTAATAAATATACAGTGTGAGTTCCTAAAATATTTTATACAGAACTTTATAACAGCCGCTGCCTCAAATATTCAAAAATAAGAAAGAATGAATATCCATAAAGTAATCAATTGTTTCCTGTAAATAAAATTTAAATTATAAATTTAATAATTACTAATGTAAGAAATGGAAAAAAACAGTATAAGTTAAAAGAAGGCTAAACTATCCTTAACTAAAGATTCCAGAGGGACTGAAATGGCTGCTAAAATATTGACCAGATAAGTAACCAGTAGAAAGACAGTGAAAACTGTTTTATACTTTCAACATGGGGTATGTGAACTGCAATGCCCATCCCCACCGAAGCCATGCATGAACTCTCCTCTCCCCTTCCAAGAAATTTTATTGCTCTCCTCTTCTTAAAAGTAATGCAAGCGAAAGTAGAACTAGAAAAATCGTTTATCATATACCTTTACACTTGCTGTGGTCCGGTTCATGTTTTCCCCCTTGTTCCCTGATTTGAAACTTTTTACTTCAAAAATTCATAATCCCGCCGAAATGAGCTTTACACAAAGATTCAAAACGCTATAAAAATGTGACCTCTTAAAAATACCTGAGTTCTGACGGTAGGCTTTTGTTTCATTATCAGTGCTGATTTAGATAATTGAGTAGTGGATACTTTGTCTTATTAGTTAATAACTATTGTTTAAGAGATGAAATAAAGAAGAAAATATTCGGAAACATAGGTTTTACAAAGTATTGATAGAATGTTGAAGAAAAACAACCACCATCTTAAGTTGTTATGATTGTTAACTAGTTGTAATAATATCTAGATATGATTAATCAATTTGGACTTTTTACTGAAGTTGCCGCAATTGCTTTCGGAATGTGTGTCAGTGGGTTGCCGTAAAGTTGAAGTGCAGTTGTAGAACTAAAAACAAAATAAGATATATCCTAACAAGGATCAGATGAATGACAACAGAGAGCCATTGAGCTGATGACGTGTTTCGAATGCGGCTCCTAAAAAGCAGGTACGTGACCACGAGATGGATCATACTGTTCGGAACGGGAGGGTGCGGTGCACTGGACCAGAGCTGAGGCAAAACATGGTTTTTTCTCTTGTCTCATAACATTTGTTTCCACGGTCAGTAGGTTATGCTTTTTATAGCTGCAAACTGTTGAAATAGAAATTGCAGAGATACTGTTAATTGACATCCAATACCTGAAAGCTGTTGTATAAATTATGTTCTTCAATAAAAATAATATATTTATCTATTGAAATTAATTTGCCAGCTGAAAGCTTGCTGATCTCTTATGAATTGACCTCCAGTCTAAGAGTTCTCACAAACAAACATGAAAATCTAAAAAATATCAACAAAAAAAAACCACGGTGTATGCTTAAGACCACACGATTAGTGTTGCCAAACATCGGTCTTGGTCTTGCACTTTGCAATACCAAGACCAATGCCGCCTAACTGTAGCAAGATTTACACCAAGACTGGTAAGAAAAAATAGTTACAAATACTGGAAATCTTAGTTACTATATGTTAATAATTGGTATAACGAATATACTTTTGCATTTAATGCCTCTAATTTTTCATTCGGGCTTAGTTAGGTTTCTCCTATCTAACAAATTACAGTAATATCTCTATAATAATAAGCTAATAAGTAATTTCAAGAATGTTGCGAGACTCTTGCGCAAGACTAAGACCATGACGAAGACTCAGTTTGCAAGACCAAGAGTCATCTCGCAAAAAGGCGGGATTAACAATATGGAATTAAAAATATTAAATATTCAAAACAGTTGTTATTGGTTTCTTTTCCTTTTCCGGCTCTCTAACTCGTCGCCAAGTCAAAATACCATTTTGAATTATAGCTCATTACAAAAAGGATCAAATGCTGACAATTTATCTTGCTTCATTATACAGGTACAAATTTTAGTTTTTGTGATATTTTAATCCAAATGTTCCAAAAAAATCGACTTCATTTGGTTTTCGACACTATATTTTTCTCTTCCCGATTATCTGACTCGGCGTCACATCAAAATACATTTTTTAATTAGAGCTCATTACGAAGAGGTTGGAATGCTGAGAATTTCTCTTAGTTACGTTATATTGGTCCAAATTTTAAATTTTTTGAGATATTTTAATCGACATGTTCAAAATTTTTTTTTTATCATTTGGAACTTTATCGGAATGAGCGTTACATACCGGAGCTTGACGGAACAGCTGTCATTCACTATCAACGAAAAAAGTGCAAAGCGCACCTAAAGAAATGTTCACTTCCAGAATAAAAAAACAAAACAGTGACAATAATTTTTCCTAATTATGATACTCCTATTTCGTTTATTTCAACATAATTTATTATTAAAAATAAATTTAAATTAAATATTAAAAGGAAGCTAACAAAAAATCTTATATCAAATTCGACGGATCAAACATGAATTTATCACCCAGATGTTTTCATGGATTAATTTCCATGAGGTTATTCAATACTCTACTCGTCAGGGGTTCTAAACCTTTTTTCAGCAGCGGATACATTTATAGGTTATGTTGGCCGTCGTCGTGCTTTTGTTCATTGTAAATTGCAGGTAGATTACTGTTTATAAATTTTAAAAGATAATGTAAATGGTATCAATAAAATAAATATATATGTAAATATATATATATATATATATATATATATATATATATATATATATATATATATATATATATATATATAATAATAATGAAATATATTTATACAGAAAATGCAAAACTAAGTCCAATGATCGTATTAATTATATAGTTTTCTTATATTATATTAAAATATTTTTAAATTAAAATTGAAAAATAATCACAAGCAACATGAGCAGCTATAACTAGTCATAAAATTGGTAAATGCAATGTTACCAACAGTTCCATTCATTTTTTTTTTTTTTTTTAATACCAAAGAAACAGATTAGTTCAAAACAATATTGATATTATTATATCGATAAATAAATTATTATGTTTAGATAATTATAATTATTATGTATATAGTAATAATAATTATTATTGAATTTTATATCTATAAACTGTTGTTAGATTTTTATATATTTGTATATTTACTGGAGCAGTTCTGAGTGAAACTCCTAGCTGTACACACCTCCCTGAAGAAAACCTGCAAAGACGGTTCGAAACGTTGGCTTTTAATAAAATAGTTTTGCCACTATTCAGCCTATTTATGACCGCCACTCCGGGCCATCTCCTTCCTTTATAATGCAACGGTCAATTATCAAATGTTCAAGATACTTTTTAAATTTATTAACGTTACAAGGGGAAGTCCTTGACACATGGATCACCGATATTTATTTTTCTTCATTTTGCTCAGGTTTCTATGTTATTTTAGATGAGCCCTTCAGTTGACAGAATAAAGAACTCCAATTTCAACATTTTCGAATAATGTCATTTTAGTGATATTTACAGTTTGAAAATGTATAATATCTGTACAGTGAGTAAGTTGATTCCAGAGCGGGAAATTGCAGTGTAAGTATAGAACTATCAATAAAGGTATACATTTTTTCACTAGAAATATCACTAAAATTAATAATTAAAAAGGTTGAAATTATAGTTTTTAATAGTCATTCTGCCAACTGAAAAGCTTATATATTAAGCATTTCATTCTCTTTTATATGTGTGGAATATGAAAATTTATTGAAACGACGGTACATGTGTCTTATACTTTTAGAATCACAAAAAAAAGTATGCTTACCAAACTGACTGTGACGACAGTTATAAAACCAAAAACACTACTAAATATTTTTAAAACCAAATTTTAAACCGAATATTTTATTTATTATTGATATTATTATTTTTTTTAAATACACCTTTTCATACACCTCAAAACCCCAAAGGCTTCCGACCAGGATTTCAGGCACCTTGAAAGCACAAAAAATCACTGAGTTTTTTTTTCAGATTATCCACTTCAGAAGTTCTTAATCAAAACCGAATTAAAAACGATATTCTTGAATATAAAAGAAAATCCAAATATTTCGAAAATGTTTTACAATAATTTGGAACGTAAAGTGAGAGAAATATTGTTTCATCGATTTCAATGCCAAGCGTGGAATGTCAAGTTCGACATTGAAAAATCTGAAGTTGAAAGTATTCAAATTTAGAATGCCATAGAAATATATGATATAAATTAGTTTTTTTATTTTTGATCAATTATCGGAACAATATGTTGGCTCAGTCCTCTTTTTCCCAATCTGTTGAAATTAAATTAGGCTATTTGGAGCTCCTTTTATTTCCCCATCCAAAAAAAAAAAAAAAAAAAAAAAAAAAAACCTCTGAGAAATAATTTATATCTAAAGTTTTGCGCAGAACGTTGTATAAAAACAGAAAAGAAAATATTCACAAAAAAACTTGAGATTCAGGTTCTCTAGAACTCTCCATTTTATAAAATTAAAGTACGTACATATAGTTATTATTTTCATTTGGTCACTTTCAATTTAACCTAAGATAGTAGGTTAAATTTTAGGTTAAATTTAACCTAAGATAGTAGCAGTATTCTGTGTACTTAAGTTGACGAAGCTGAAACTTTCACCAACACGGTAATTGGGTGTTTAATTGCAGGAACTAATTACAGTGCGTTGGATACTCTGAATTCCCAATGACAGCTTGAATTATTTAGGTGGAATAGAAAGTGAGGTTGGTGAAAATAGAGTAAACATGGAAAATGACCAAGTACTTCGTCTATAATAATTAATATCCGTCAATACTACTTATTTCTGTCAGGTTTCTTCGAGTGATCTTATGTCACTACGTTATTATTTCCCAAGTATAAAATATAAGTATAACATGCTATCATACTTACGTTATTATATTATTACTGACAATATTATTATATAATAATGGGTAGCTTCATTATAAAAAAGAAGCAACTGAACGATCTATCTTAGATCAAATCAAATTAATGTTTTTTAATAACGTAATATTTTCAATATTGTCGATTATAAATCTATTTAATTAATACATACATTTAGGTTTCTTTTAAACGAAATCGATCGACCTCCTGGACAGTCCCTCTCCGAAGTTATCTTCCCCTGAAAGACAAAGAAAAATTATATAAATATGTTACAAAGTTTGGACTTTATTTGATGGAAAAATAAGAAGCCCGAACTTAAAACAACTTTTTATTAATTATTACTTATTATTAGTTTTAAAATATGCTGTTGATAAAAATAAAATCGATCCACTCTTTGAACAAACATGTTGGATGAAATATTTTAAATATGGAGTAATCTCATGTGCGTCCGAATTCGTTTTATAATTTTATAAAACACCTGAGAAATCTATATTAAGGCTTATTAATATAAATAATTTTTAATAATTTGAAGCATATCGGTCATGAAAATATTAAAATGAAAAATATAAAAGATCGCTCTCACTGGTTTTTATTTTTCATTTTCATTTTCATTTTATGAGGAAAAAATTTTTTAATTCCTACAACATATGGAAATATCATGATGAACTTAATATCATTAATTAGAAACGAACAATACGATTTTGTGGAAAGTAAAATATCACACACGTATATATGTTCATAAACTTCATTTTATTTGTATATTTAAATGACTACAATATTCACTGCAGTAATTTTCCCACAGTATTCACGAAGAGAAGAACAAAAAAGAAAAAAACTAAACAGGAGTGATACAATACGAATAATACTAAAAAATTTGGAAACTGCTGTAAAGGCCGTTATAGTCTTACCATGGACTCTAAAAATAAAATAAATGCCAAAATAGAGGTATTAAAAAATAATATTAAATTAACATAAAATGTAATTAATTAAAAACAAAATGCGGAGCTGAGTAGTTAAGGGATCCAAGATGAATATTTTTCAAAATTGGATTAATTGCAAAAATTAATACCTCATACATATATTTGATATACGTGTTTATATATATATATATATATATATATATATATATATATATATATATATATATATATATATATACATATATATATATATATATATAATAGCATAGAGATTCAATTATAAAATAAGTTTTAATATTATTTGAGGTAAATAAACAGCTCAAACCAATATAAAAATGTTAGTGATCTACATAAAAAAAATGGTAGTGATCTATATAAAATAATATAAAGATAAATAAAATAAATTGAAAGCATATTGACCATATTAGTAAAAGTATTCTTCATGGCTATTTGAACCACCTTTTTTGTTGAAATATTCTATTTCAAAAACGATAGTCCGATTAGCAGTAAGTATAATGTATACATGAATATTAATATATAGTCACAATAAATGTCACTAAATAGTAATGCATAAATTTATAGTAACAAAACACATTAAAAATGAATAATATATAAAAATATAGACAATAGATTTTTATAGAAAATATTAAACTCGATATTGTGACAGTTAGCCACGGGGAATCGAAATAACCATTTCAGTTTATTTTAATGTTTTAAAATTATTACTAGTTTTCAGGATGTTAAGAATATCTAAAGATACAGACTTTAATTATTAAATATGCTAGTCTGAGTTATTGAATTGCTAGGCAATTAGAAAAAATGAGGTTTATCTTTATTTACGTTATTTATTTAAAAATATCATCATTGATAAGGAATGGTCTTGTAAGTAATTACAGTAAGTAAGTAAGCAACTGGGCTCATTACTCTAGTTAACTTATGAGATTGTCTGCATTCCGAAGAAACATGTTTCCTTGTTGCATACCATTAGCCTTAACCACTCCTCAAATGTTCGATGACCGCAGCGAAAATGCTTTGCGTTTCCTAATAAAATTACGGGTCAGGAACCACTAATCTCAGAAAACCAGTCTGAAATAATTATCGAGTATGCTTCCCATGCCAGGCGTTGGGATACAGACCGTACTCACGCAGGATGTGAAGGAGTTGAGTTAAACCACAACCGTCAGGGGCAAGGACGTTTCGTTGCCAAAGGATTTCTTATAGTTCGAATGTATTTCTTGAGTCAGGAGTTTTACCGAGGAAAACTTTATATATTTCTTACCTTATGAGAATGGAAACTATTTAAGAAATTATCCATGCATACATATACACACACACATCTTATATATTTTTTGTTAATATATATTATTAGTTTTTTTACGAATTAAAAACTCTTTGTTTTTATTTTTGTGTGCAAAATGGTTTTTCATGCAAATTAAATGCATTTTATACATAATTTAAAATATTTTCATGATATATTATTACAATATTTCCAAATTATTAGGAATTATGAGAAATTCTTTAACTCTTTTTTACAGGATTTGGAACAGTTATTTTGATGAAATGAGTTTAACTTTAACTGTTTGAATACGAATTTTATCAATAAGAGATTAAAGGAAAATGTTTTTTTTTTTTAAACTGTTAAATAAAAGTTCTAACTTACATTATAAAATGCAAAGTGTTATTTTTTAATCAGAATTGTTTCATAAGGAAGGTTAAAGCTTTAATGTTTTTTAATTAACGTAATAAATAACGTACATTTGAAATTACCTTGTAAATACCTTGTAGTATTTACAAGATAATTACAATGTATCGATACCTTGTAAATCTTGTAAATATTTACTATGTTAAATGCATAGAAAAATAATTATAATATTTTATATAGCTATGTACATATACTAATGATTATATTCTCTTTGTTTTTAATAACGTTAACAAAAACGTAAACGCATATTACTTTTTTAATTGAAAACTTTCAAAATAAACGGTTTATAAAACTTTTATTAATGAGGTTTGAAAATAGATGGTAAGAAAATGACTGTTTTTAAATGGCCCATATCAATAAAAAGCGTTTGAAAAAAATTTGATGCATCTACTTATAAAAGTTAAATTTTTACTTTTGATTATGTCACTAGTTTTTAGGTTTTTTTCGGAACTATAACTTTTTTACTTGTGCCTTTTCAAGTAAAGGTTTTAAAGAAATTCTATTTTTAAAATGCTTTTATTTAAAATTTCTGTCATTGTCACTAAAAAGCCGATCTAAAAAAATACTTTTATTCATACTAATGATACATACTCAATCTAATGATGAATTAGAATCATGTGTAAGGATTCCTAAGCCTAATGGCGTGTTATTTTATATTTAATGGTACTTTTATTAAGAACTAGAATAAATACAAGTTTAACTTCTACCATAAGCCTGAAACTTTACTAAAAAAAATTTCCTTCCAGCTTTTATTTGAAAAAGATGTTTTCCTAGATAGTTTCACAAAAATGTTAAAATTCAACTTCTTAAAAAAGATCAATAAAAGTTTCAACTCCTTTTTTAAATTTTATCTTATTATTAGTTTGGATATCAGAAATTTATGTTTACAAACATAGTTTATTAAATTATGTAAATACAATTGATGAGAAAAAATAATAAGAACACAATGAACATCTCAGGGTTTGATTAAAAAATAATATTAAGTATTATTTGAATATATTTACGAATAGTTAAAGCATGAGGAATGAGAACCATTACTGCTCTTATACAATGTGTGTATTTCGGACATTTTAGGAATGGATCATTGGCCGTTGGATAACATATATATATATATATATATATATATGCAGTATACACATACACATATTATAGTACACACGCAAACACACAAACAAAATTTATAAAACGAATGATGGTCCATTATTAAAAACTCCATGAAGCACGTTTTTATGGAAGTAGAAGTGCTATTATCACCTCGTGCGTTAACGTAATAGATTTTTTTCAAGATGCAAACAAGGCGGAACATATTATATTCATGCGAAGTATTTTTTTTCCTTGCTCTTAACAAGACCCGGCAACAAAGATACTCAGAGACACGTGGAAAGCGTGTGTACGGTATGAATACTATATGTACGAATATAGTATATCAAATTATTCATCATACGTAATTTCATAAAAAAAGTAGATAAAAATAATAAAAGAATTTTCTCTGTTTACATATAACCACGGTCATGGAATAAGCAAAGAAAATAATCTTTTATTGGTAACTATAGAACAAACATGTGTTTCGAAATAATTAAATAAATGGAAATGATTCATTTCTGTTGAATATAAAATGAAAATAAGAATCAATTGTTTTTCCAAGAAAACTATAACAATGCATAAGTATCTTTAATCATACAATCGGATATTATTCGAATAATAAAATATTTAATAGTCCATAGCGTTTTTTTTTCAATCTTCTTAGTAATATTTCTATAGTTTCAAGACTGAGTGACTTAAAAAAGATTATTATGACTGAACACATTAAAATAATTTATAAGTTTTCAAATAGTAACAATAACTAAATAAATTAAGTGTTAATGTGAAAAAATAATAGTATTCATATTGGTATTGGTAAGGGAGTAAGAGTCCCGTTAATGGGCCTTTTGCCAAACTCTGAAGGCTCAAAAAGGTTACCGCACTGTTCGGGCAGGTTAGACAGTAACAACTTACTCACACGGGAATCGAACCAAACCATTTCGAACCACGATTTACGGAACCCATATCCTACATGTTCGGCCATAACGGCTTCGAGATAATAAGAAATATATATATATTTAGTTTTTTAAAGCCTTCTAAGCGTGTTTCAGGAATTTCAATTGTAGCCATATCTTGTATGAGTTATTAGTGTGAATGTGATCTTACCTCCCCATAACCATTGTCCAAGTGACATCATGTTTTATTATTCAATAAATAAATAAATTATAAAAAATCTTTTATGAGTGTATGTCTATGTAAGTTATCGTGAAACCTTTTGTAGTCTTTAACTGTTAGAATATGAGCTCTAGTTATGGAACTGATATGTATGTTTTTGACTTAAAAGTTTCTAGTTTTTGCGTACGTGGGTCGTTTTTGCTGCCCCGTATATCTGTGAAGCATTGGTCTATATGCGCTTAATTAAATAAATGTAACTGTTCATTATCTGTATTAGGTTTGATTCTGAGCGTCTTGAAAGAATAATAGTCATGGTCGGAGGTTTAATGTCATTATTCTGCCAACCGTCAGTCCAAGGTATTGTAATTTATCTGTTTGAAGAATTTTGGAATTTCAAAAGTAAATAGGAGGACAAGTTTCAT